GCAGAGACACCTTCCACTACACCACGTTGCTCAAAGCCCCATCCAGCCTGGCCTTCAACACTTCCAGGGAGGGGGCATCCACAACTTCTCCGGGCAACCTGTTCCAGTGCCTCACCACCCTCATAGTAAAGAATTTCTTCCTTACATGTAATCTAAACCTACCCTCTTTCAGTTTAAAGCCACTACTTGTCCTATCACTACATGCCCTTGTCAAAAGTCCCTCTCCAGCTTTCTTGAAGGTGGCTTTCAGGTACTGGAAGACTGCAATACGGTCTCCCCACAGCCTTCTCTTCTCCAGGCTGAACAGCCCCAACTGTCTCAGCCTTTCCTCATAGGAGAGGTGCTCCAGCCCTTGGATCATGTTTGTGGCCCTCCTCTGGACCTGTTCCAACAGGTCCATGTCTTCCCTGTGCTGAAGGCTCCAGAGCTGGACGCAGTACTCCAGGTGGGTTCTCACCAGACTGGAGCAGATGGGCAGAATTACCTCCCTCGACCTGCTGGCCCCAAGACACAGCTGGCCTTCTGAGCTACAAACGCACATTGCTGGGTCCTGTTGAGCTTCTCATCGACCAGCACCCCCAAGTCCTTTTCCTCAGGGCTGCTCTCAATCCATTCTCCGCCCAGCCTGTATTTGTGCTTGGGATTGCCCCGACCCATGTGCAGGACCTTGCACCTGGCCTTGTTGAACTTCATGAGGTTCGCACAGGCCCACCTCTCAAGCTGTCAAGGTCCCTCTGGATGGCATCCCTTCGCTCCAGCGTTGTTGACTGCACCACACAGCTTGTTGTTGTCGGCAAACTTGCTGAGGGTGCACTCAATCCCACTGTCCACGTCACTGACAAAGATGTTGAACAGCACTGGTGCCAGTACTGACCCCTTAGGAACGCCAGTCATCACTGGTCTCCACCTGGACATTAAGCTGTTGACCGCAACTCTTTGAGTGCAACCATCCAGCCAATTCCTTATCCATCGAGTGGTCCATCCACCAAATCCATGAGCCTCCAATTTAGAGACAAAAGATGTTGTGCGGGACAGCTTCAAGTGCTTTGCTTAAGTCCAGGTAGATGACATCACTTGCTCACCATGTAACTATGTCACTATGTCATCACACAACTAATGACAAAGATGTCCTTTTCAGTATAATCGGGTGTAAAAGCTGTAACTTGTTATACCTTTCGCTTTTTGAAGCTGCAGCACGGCTCCGGCGTGCACACTGTGTTGTGCAGCCATCTAGAGGGCCTGCTGCCTGCACCGACTTCACGCTGTTACCCAGAAACCACAGAACTGCAGGAAAATACAAGCTCTGCTGACCCTTAGTGGCCATAACTCGGCTGCGGTGCTGTGGGAATGTTTTTACCAATTCAGGAATGCTGTTCTGGTGCTTTTATACAGGTGGTGGCATATTTTTTGGGGGGAGAAGGTACTGACTAACCTGCTGAGGGCAAAAATTGGGGAAGCACTGTCAGCAGAGAAGAGGATCTGGGTATTGTAGAGGAGAATGTACCTGACGTTGAGACTTTACAGCACTTCCACAGACCAAATGCAGTAGTCTTACATGTAGGGGCTATCAAAGTTGACACGGTAAACTGAAGGTGAGCTGTTGCCTGGCAAAGGGAGATGGAAAGAAAAATTGGAGGCAAAAGGCAAAATGCTTAGAGACCACCACATGGCTCTGATGAACAGATGTGATTCTTGGAGACACCAGGAGATGCAGGTCTGGGTCAGACAGGGATGACTTGACACCTCATACTGATGAGACTTCACCTGGAGTATCAGACAGAAGCCTGGCTTTCAAAGATCAGGAAACAGGAATTTGAATATGCAAAGAAGGCCTCAAGGTGATCAGGGGAAATGAAACCCTATTTTATAAGAGGAAATTAAAGATCCAGCCAGCCAGCATCCAAAAAAGGTTATGGTTACCCCCATTAAAAAACTGATATCACGGATGTCAGCCACAGAGAGGCATAAAAGTCACACGGTGTGAGGCCAGATGAACATAAATTGCCCGAACCTTTTGGGCTGGAAAGTCGATGCGTCTTTCACACTAAGAGCAGTGAGGTTCACTGGTTGTGTCTGAAGTGCCAAGAGGAGGGAACCCTCTCTCCTCGCTAAAATGCAGGTTGGTCCCCGAGGCGGCTGTCAGCACCAGGACTTCCAGCCCCACGTTCCTGCCTTGGTGGTGCTCCTCAGACCTGCTGCCTCCTCAGTTTATGTCGCGGTGCCAACAGCGTCCCTGCATCGGTGTGCTGCAGCAGGGGGGGGGAAAGGCCTGTGAGAAGCTGTTACGGACATCCTTTTGGTCCGAACACAGCCCTCTGCTTTTGCTGCAGCGTTAGTTTACACAGCATCTCTTGGAACAACTTTTCAGCGACCGACAACGTTGAGGCAGACGTCTGTGTTTTTGCTCTTCCTTGCAGCGCTGGACTTGTCCCCTCAGTGCCACCCTCGTGGCTTGTCCCAGCTCCTGCAAAGCACTGAGGCCGGCACCCTCTTCCCAGGACGCTCCTCACGACCCCACCTCTGCGAGGGTGCCCGCGTCCGCAGTCAGGTCGCGACAGGCGCGACGGAAACGCAGAC